AACACCACAAAGAAATAGGCCATGCTTATTTCACTTATCTGCTAACAGACACCAGTAATAGTGTGTGTAGTTTCTCTTTTATTCGTTTTCATTGTTTGAGATTTCCTATATGCTTATAATGTGTTTTCATCAAGTCTAACCTGAATTCCCTCCCTTTCACTTCTTCTAGCCTCCCAACATAGATATTTAGTTATTTAAAAAAAAATCATCTATATCACAGGAGCACTGCCTCGCAGTTTCCTTCCATTTTAACGGAAGCCCGGAAGAGAGCTCATATGGTAAATGCTTGATATACATGTGTGAGGGGCTGAGTTTGATTCCCAACACCCATGTAAATACCACACGTGCATTTGAGATCACTGGATAGGGCTGGTTCCCTGGAGCTCTTTAGCCAGCCAGCCTACTAATCAGGGAGCCTCAAGTCCCAGTGAGAGACCTTTCTGGAGTAAACCTAGGTGCCTGTGTTATTCTTTAAGGATATAAGGGGGGCTGGGGGAAGGCCGGTCGCACGAGGGGTAGCAGCACATGATCCAAGGCCTCGGTGGGTTCCCTGAGGCCTTGGCAGATCATCTTGGTGGGTGAGAGACAGATACATCATGCAAAGAGAGTTTGGATATAGTTTATTTAGTGGGTTATGGAGGGGAAGGGGAAAGGGGGAAAAAGGAGAAGGGGGAAGAAGAGAGAGAGGCAGGGGGTGGAGAGAAGAGAGAGAGAGGGGGAGAGAGGGAGAAAGAACAGACAGAAAGAGAGAGAGCAGGCAGGCTCGAGGAGGCGGGATATCCACTTCCCTCCAAGGAAGGGAAGGGGTTTGGAGAGGGTGGGGCTTGTCTCTTAAAGGGATAGGGTATCCAGGTGACAGACCAGTCCAGCAAATTATAACAGCATGTATTCATGCTCTCTCTCTCTTCTTCCCTTTCTCCCTCTTTCCTCTTTCTCTCTAATGCTAACACATACATACATACACACACACACACACACACACACACACACAAAACCACGGGATGGGGATTACATAGATGCTATCTGAAACTTTCAGTGCTTTTGCATAAGCTAGCCATTAGAAAATACTTCCCTTTGGTCAGAGAGCTGCACACTGTGGAAACCAACAGCCTGGCTCCAACTGGACCCCTTTCCTTACTTAGTTATTTTTCTGTTGCTGCAACACCGTGACCAAGGCAACTCACGGGCTCACAGCTGCAGCAGACTCAGCAAGGTCTCTGGAGCAGCGAGCTGAGAGCTGACATCTTGAGTAAGCACAATGTACAAAGAACCAACTAGAAATGACACAAGTCTTTAAACTCTGAAAGCTTGCCTCCAACAAGACCATACCTCTTAAACATCCCCCAGAAAATATCACCAACTAGGGCCCCATTCAAATACTTGAGCCCATGGGGAAATTCACATTCAAAGGGCCACATTCTGCTCTCTGGCACCTATAGGCTTGGGGCTATATCAGAATGCAAAATGCAATTTCTTGATCGTCACCTCTTGTAAAATCAAAAAATAAATTGTATATTTCCAATGTATAATGTCACAGAATATGCATTACCATTCCAAAAAGGAGAAATGGGACGTAATGAGGAAATGCTGGGTGGGGTCTTGCCCTAAGGTCACCCTTTCCTTTATTTCAATGCAGATCAGGCCTCTACTTACTGGTGCTCCTCTCCTCTCCTCTCCTCCCCTCCCCTCCCCTCCCCTCCCCTCACCTCTCCTCTCCTCTNAGGTCCTCTCTCACAGAGGTTCCTTAACTTGGAGTTCTAAATTCCTTCTGTTTGCTTTCCTCTTAAGAATCCTATGCTCAGTCCGCCTCTCCTCCCCTCCCCTCTCCTCTCCTCTCCTCTCCTCTCCTCTCCTCTCCTCTCCTCTCCTCTCCTCTCCTCTCCTCTCCTCTCCTATCCTCTCCTCTCCTCTCTCTGTCTCTCTCTTTCTCTCTCTCAGAACCAGCGTTAACTGCAGCAGTAGTTTTCAGGTGCTCTGTTTCCCTTTACACCGTACATTTTGTATTTCTTTCCCACTTGGTATTTTTCACTGTAGACCTGCATAACAGTCATTAATAATAGTCACACCACAGATATCAACATCAATATTATGCTGCTTCCACCAAAGAAAGTAGTCCAGTACTTTTTAATTTAGCCTCAGACAAATTCTTAGGACAACAGCAGAAAGAAGGCACATTCTCTAACAAAATATTACAGGGACAATCTCTGGGCCTCTCTGAAACCTCCAGAGCTGGGCCCCCACAGTCTGCACTGGCCCCAGGATTACTGCCTTCAAAGTTCCTACTAGGATGGTCCATTGCGCTCTTCTTACAGATTCAAACACATTTCTAGTACAGAATCCAGAATCTTTTAATATTCCTCCAAAAAACAATATGATCAAGTTGTGAACAATGACATCCCACTCCTGGTTCGAAATTTTTTATTAGTTTCTTTTCTGTGCTGTGGTAAAACACTGTGACCAAGGCCACTATAGAAGAAGCCGTTTGTTGGGACTTACAGATGCAGAGTGATGTCAGGGAGGCCAAGGTAGCAGGCAATGGTTATGGCGGCTGGAGCAGCCAACTGAGAGAGAGCTCACATCCTGAGCAAGCCAAAGCAGAGGAATACAGTGGGAAAAGACATGAGTCTTTAAAGTTTCAACGCCTACCTTCATTGCTTGAGGCCACACCTACTAGACATCCCTCAACAGCACCAAGCTGGGGACCGAGTGGTGAAATACATGAGATTTGAAGTATGAAAATTCTCATTCGAACCACCACACGCCTCTGTGTGCCTCAGTTTACTCATCTGTGTGTGGAGACAAGCACCAGTACCTTTTATAGGATTGTTTTGCATATTAACTTAGTTTCTACAGGTGAAGTGTTAAAAGCCATTTTGTGATATATGTGCTCAATAAATATGGATAAGATATTGTGATGATGGTGGTAGGATTGATCAATAATGTCACTAAGATACATATCAGTATGAGAGTGCCTGCTCACCGTACACAGTGCTCAGATTTTGATCCCCAGCACAATTAAACAACAGCAACAATAAAAATAGTCATAGAATGTTTTGCAATTGAATCATTCCTGTTGATGAAATGTTTTTATTTTATTTACTGTTTTTATTTGAACTATACAATTCCCTCCCTTTGCTCTTCCTTCCTCCCTCTCCTCTTCCACCCTCCCTTCCGCTGATTAAGTGTTTTAACATTTCTTCCTCAAAATGTTTGGAATAACTTCATCTTTTTTGCTGGGTAAGATGTTCATATTAAGTAATTTTCCAAAAATAAGGCTTATTAAGAAATATGATAGCTGGATGTAGTGGCACACACCATTTATCCCAGCACTTTGGAGACAGAGAAAGGTAGAGCTCTGTGAGGCCAGCCTGGTCTGCATAGAGTTCCAGGGCAGCCAGAATACATAGTGAGATCAAATTCAAGGAAAATTTGAATTAATTCTTACATGACTTATATTTATATTGTGAAAATTTTAGTCCCATGAAGATAATGAGTCAAGTTTTTTTTTCCAAGTCCATAGCAGATAAGGTTTTCTGTTTGAAATATTTCTATAATATTGTTGCCCATATTTGAATATTTCTCAAGGAAAAGATTAGTAAAATATTACGTGTGATTTAAAATCATAGAAAACTACTAATAATTAAAGATTTGCTTCCTTGAATGAGTATTTTCATATATTTTATATGAAATATAAAATAAAATGCATTTCATATATTTTAAGAGACTGATTCACATAGACTGTTTTTCTTTTCACATGATGAATTCTGAAGTGTGGGATTCAAAGTTTCAGTCATGAAGAATTATTTCTAGGTCTCTCTTAAGAATAAGTTAGGGAGCTAGAGAGATGGCTCAGCAGTTAAGAACACTGTTTGCAATTCCAGAGGGCCCAGGTTCAAATCCCAGCACACACTTGGCAGCTCACACCTGTCTGTAACTCCAGTTCCAGGACTTCTGACTCCCTCCCACAGATATGCATGTAGGTAAAACACCAATGAACAGTAAATAAGAATAAATTACTTATAACTTATACATCTATACAGTAAGAGGAGTTAGGAGTGCTGAGGAAAGAAAATAAAGCTTTAATTATATTCCACACCCGAACTGAAAATCCAGCAGAAATCTGGACTTTGGGCTGGAGTGAAGCCACACTTAAATGTCTTCCTCATCACCGGTCTGTGAGCTCATTTCGTCCTTTCTGAGCTTGGCTGCTGCTGCAGGACAACTAGTCAACAAGCCGCTGAGAGTTTCCTAAGCTTCACTCCAGTTTCTGTGTGGTCTTCTGACTTGAGAAGGCAACTGTTGTTACAAATAAAGAGTGAATATGGAAAGCAGTGTAGGAGCTGTAGACAAGGTGTCTGGAATCACCCCCCTCCTAGGGCTCTCGGGTGGAAAGCTGGAACAGGACAGAGTGGCTGTTCTGAGTGACTTGTCCTGCTTTCAGTCCAAGCCCAGGAAGCCACTGGCCTTGGGATTCAGGTTGGTGTCCCTTACACATTCTCAACCCACCAATCTATTTTATTTTTTATTTTATTTAGCAAAAGCTTCGCTACCAGGTTGGTGGGGTGAGTAGAAAAAAAATCTCTTGAATCCTCTAGATAATGGTGGAAAATAAGCAATTGAAAATGAAAAACAAATAAGAAGTAGAGTGTTTTTAAAAATACAAGGTTTTTTTTTGTATTTTTGGAAGGATTGTAGGGTTTAATCAAAAGCTTCTAGGAAAACCACAAAACTGAATCAATTATTTAATCTAAACAGACACAATAAAAAAGAACATGGCTGGTCTATGTGACCTTTGGTCTTTCAAGGGTCTCCCCAGTGTTTGTCATGGTGATATATTGTTGTAAAGATACTGTTTACAAAATGTAACCTTGCTCTGTAGCCCAGGTAGGGTGGTGACAGTGGCCTCTGCTGTCTACTCTGTTTAGCCTGACTTCTGTGTGGCATGGACATGTGTGGTGATTATCCAGCATTGCTCACATGTAAAATCTTCTGCTTCTTAGATTCTCACCCGACGGGAGGTTAATCGTGTCATGTAGTGAGGATAAAACGATTAAAATTTGGGATACCGCCAGCAAGCAATGTGTCAATAACTTCTCGGATTCTGTAGGGTAAGTTCATTCTCTTCACACCTTCATATGGATCTGCCCTCTAAGGAGATACTGTATTATAAACAGTCCAAACTTTAAAACGAAGGTAAAGAAGTTGAAATGTCAAACTGTCATATTCTTGCTTCCTAGGTTTGGAAATTTTGTGGACTTTAGCCCTAACGGTACATGCATAGCTTCGGCGGGTTCTGATCATACGGTGAAAATCTGGGATATACGAGTGAACAAATTACTCCAGCACTACCAAGGTAATGGTTTTCCCGACCAGAAAGAAGTTTCACTATGTGACGGCTGCTATGGGAAAGGCTTGTGGCTGGGTTTAGATCTTTCTGCATGGGGGTCAGAGGCTACACTTGAGCTGGCTAGAGAGCTGAGCAGCTGACTGCCACCAACAGAAGAAACATGTTGAGAAAGAAAGGTACAAAAACAAGCCGAGAGAGAAAATGGATTCACTGTGACCATGTCAGGGAGGTAAACAGGCAAAGGACCAGTTGACCCCCAAGTCTGTCTTGGGGTAACAACCTGAGCTTTTGTCTTAAGCAGAGGAAGGAGTGAGGCTGGGTGCAAGGAGGTGTGCGTATTGTAGCCATGCTGGCCGGAACATCCGTGTCAGAGTCTGACCTGCAGGCAGAGAAAGCCTATTGAATCCTATCTACTTCCTACATTCCTTTCCTTTCTCCCACATCGTGAAGCTCCCCTTCCCCGATAATTATCCTCCTCTAGGAGACTGGTCTCTTCTGAGAGGTTTTCTGTTTCCAGGGCTCCAAGGTGACCGCAGGTTTGGGACATGTATATGCATTTTTAGCCATAGGTAAGGAGCAGACACAAAGTGAGGGCCAAGATCCCAGATCTTTCCCAGGGTGAAAATCTGGCTTTCAGTTGCTTATGACCCAAATAAGGAGTGGGCATTTTAGCGAAAACAGCTCTAAGCACCCATTTCAGTTTTTCCTGTGTTTTGCTATTGCTCAATCTTGAGGGAATTAGTGTATCTGGCCAACCTGGCTCTGAAGATTTTCTTAGCTCAGTCATAAACTAGTGCTTGAGAAGAGAGCAAGCTGTAATGGCTGGGCATCCGTGTGAACTGAGCCAGTTGTGCAAGTCCAAAAGTCCACATACCAACATAAAAGAGAATGCTAGCATTCAAAGCCAAATAAATGCAACTAAATAAAATCTATAGGGAATCATCTTCTGTGTAATTGCTCTGACTGTGGACTACTAAGAATGGCCTCCAGTGGAAGGGAGTTGGTGCAGGGTAACCATGCTTAAGAACTGTTTCCTGGGGCTGGAGAGATGGCTCAGATGTTATGAGCACTGGCTGCTCTGCCAGAGGTCCTGAGTTTGATTCCCAGCAATCACTTAGTGGCTTACAACCATCTGTAATGAGATCTGGTGCCCTCTTCTGGCCTACAGGGATACATGCAGGCAGAACACTGTAAAGATAAATAAATCTTTTTTTTTTTTTAAGTAAAAAAAAAAAAAAAGAACCATTTCTCTATACCCCCTTTGCTTTAGTTGGTTTTGGAAGGGCTCACACAAGTAACTAATTCTAGTTGTTCACTTTGAGAGAGGGTCTTCCTGTAGGTTAGCCTCAATCATGAGCCTTTTACTTTGCCCTCCTAAGTGCTAGGATTATAAGTATTCACCACCATGCTTTATTTTGCATGCTTTATTTATGAAATCATGACTTTATTTTGACTCTGAAGACAACCCCCTAGAAAATTATCTAGGAACAATTTTCTCCGAAGGCATGGCTGAGTAATCATCTAGTGATTATTCTTTTTTTTTAAATATTTATTTATTTATTATGTATACAAAATTCTGTCTGTGTGTATGCCTGATGGCCAGAAGAGGGCGCCAGACCTCTTTACAGATGGTTGTGAGCCACCATGTGGTTGCTGGGAATTGAACTCAGGACCTTTGGAAGAGCAGGCAATGCTCTTAACCACTGAGCCATCTCTCCAGCCCTCTAGTGATCATTCTTAACTGTCCCTAGTCGCTGGCACGAGAGTTGTCCCTGTGTCAGGTAGGGAGAGGAGATGAAATATGACAAGGACCAGTGTCCAGAAGACTCCCTAACTCCATCCTTCCTTTTGGAGCCAAATTCAAGCAAATAAGAAGCAGAGACGGCCCCTAGGCTAGAAGTCATTCTTAATTGAGTTCTGTCTGTTCTGTGGGTGACAGCCTGGCATCGTGATCATTTTGTTAGAGGATGTATTTATACAGAATATTAGCATAAAATCTACAAGGAAAATAGAAGTCACTAACAGTAAGATCAGATATTTAAAGACATATGGGATTCAGAAAGAAGTCCACATTAGGGTCCTTTCCTGAGTTTGATTCTAAGTGCTTTGGACAAGGATCAAGACTGAGAGAACCATATGTCTCAGAATACTTATATTTAGAGTCTTCCAGATGTTGAAAAACTGAGGCTGGAGTCATGGCTCAGTAGTTAAGAGCACTTGCTGATCTTGTAGAAGACCTGGGTTTAGTTCCCAACACCCACACGACAGCTCACAGCTTCCCAAAACTCCAGTTGCAGGAGACCTAGTATCCTCTTCTGGCCTCTGTGGGCACCAGGCACACACGCAGTGCACTTACATACATGCAAACATAACATTTTACACATAACATTTTGAAATAAATAAATCTTTTTATAAAAAGGAAGTTGAACAATTGCCAAAACGGCCTTGGTAATTTTACTGCATTCAGTATTATGATTGACAGCATCATGGCCATCAAGCTGTCCTAATTCTCGTCTCAGAAATACATTTAAATTTGCATCCATTTAGTGACCGGTATAATTTATCAATAACAGGCTACATCATCCAGAAGTTGTTTCAATATATATTTGTCTTTATATAATTTTTTTTATTTTTGAGATTATAATAAAATTGTATTAGTCCCTTATTCCCTTTCCTGCCTCCAAACCCAAACGCTCCCATGAAATCTCCACCCCCCCCTACCCTCCCCCACTTCCTTTTTTTTTTTTTTAAAGATTTATTTATTATGTATACAACATTCTGCCTCCATGTATCCTGGCACACCAGAAGAGGGCGCCAGATCTCATCACAGATGGTTGTGACCCACCATGTGATTGCTGGGAATTGAACTCACGACCTGTGGAGGAACAGCCAGTCCTCTTAACCACTGAGCCATCTCTCCACCCCCCCCCACTTTCTTTCAAATCATTGCCTCTTTTTCTTTGATTGTTGTTAAACGTGTGTGTGTGTGTTCCTAAAATCATAACTACAACCTGCTCAGTCTGTATAATGTTACTTGTATGTACACAACACAACTGCTCCACCTGAGGCTCAGGGATCGTTGCAGAAGAGGGGATGAAAAGATTTTTATAAGAGCCACAGAAAGAGCCTGTGAGATTGTGTCTCCTAAATATGTCAGAAGCTACACCCATGGCAGCCTAAACATGAACTGAACTAGGATGACCTCAACAGAGATGGCTGACATGGAAAGACAGAAAGCTCCAGAGGAACTACAGGCAACTAAGGAATATGAGTAAAAGAGTAGTCTCCCTCAGGGAAGAGCACACCAGTTGACTATCTGATAACAAATGACCCTGAAAAATACATACATACAAGTCTTATAAGAATAAGCAGAGGTTTTCTCAATAAAGTAGATGGACTTGTTTTGAGATGTCCCCTGTAGGTGAGACATCTCTGTTCCAGCAGTGGCTCCCAAATGACCACAAGAGACTTACTGTTAATTACAAATGCCCAGCCAATAGCTCAGGCTTGTTTTTAGCTAGCTCTTATTACTTAATCCATTTCTATTCATCTATGTGCTGCCCCGAACCTCTTGTACATACTTCTCATCCTGCTTGTTCTGCCTCTTATAGCGTCTGCCAAGACTCCATCCTTCCTCTTCCCAGCATCCTCCTAGTCTAGTTCTCTCACCCAGTCTCTTCCTGTTCACCTCTAGGCCAGTCAGCTCTTTATTAAGTAGTAAGAGTAATGCATGTTTACAGTGTAAAAGATGTACCCCTTAGGTACCCATTGTCCATGCTTTTAAAGACTAGGAAAGCACACTTGGAGCACATAATGCGAGGTGTTTTAGTTAACTTTGCTTAGACTGCTTGGATTTGGCAAGCTGCCTGAGTGGAGAGATAAGGAAAGTTCCCGGAATAAAAATGATTCCAGCAGCTGTGTGGGCCCACCAGCCTCTCCTCTCTGCCCAGGCTGGGCTTGCTTGAGTTGGCTGATGCCAAAAAGATGTCTCCAATCCTGGTTCAAATTGACAGAGTTGTAACCAGAGATTTTAGGGCAGAAGCATTGGCCCCGGCAACTCCTAAAAGCTCAGCTTGGCCACACGTCCCCAGTGTGCCGATTAAAGAGAGGAGAAACGCTGCAAAGCCCAGTGAGGTGTATCCGGCCTGGCCACATTGGGAACGGAACAGATAAAGGAGTCTGGTGTCGTGCGTGGGGAGTGTAAAAACCAAGTTACCATAGTAGTTTTCAAACTCTGGTTGTCTGCTCTGTGTGAGAGTCAGTCGCTATTCCTAATAGGGAGTCAGTACTGTTATTCCTTGGAAACTACAGCTCCCAGACTTCTCCTGGATTACCGTCACCTGTGTGTGCGCTGGCCACGCCCAGGTGAGGGTCATTCCTCCCAGATAACCTTGCGCCCCCCGTTAAAAGCGAGGGTCCACGAGGTTTCGCTCTCTCTTGGCCCCCTACCCTTGTGTGTCTCGCACGTCCCATCCCTTATTGTGTTCCCCTCTCCCCATTAAAGTGCACCCACGTGGGAGCCGCGTGTCCTGTCTCTTCCTTTTGCGTCTCGTCCATCCTGTGTTTGTCCACACACCCACGCCGCGTGAGGTCCCGGACTCCGGGAGGCGCCAGAGGCCCGGAGCCCGGACCTCGGGTGGAGAATCCAGCACGAAGTAGTCCCCGAGTCACGGCACCAATATTATTCCTTTAAAAACGGCTTTTAACGGGGGGCGCAAGGTTATCTGGGAGGAATGACCCTCACCTGGGCGCGGCCAGCGCGCACACAGGTGACGGTAATCCAGGAGAAGTCTGGGAGCTGTAGTTTCCAAGGAATAACAAGTACTTCTTTGGTTGTAAGGGTAAGAAAACCAACAGAAATGAACATAAGTCTGTGGGACAGCATCGTGTATAGAAAACATCCCCTTTTGACATTGTACTCTGCTGCCTCCTATTGGAAGGATGGTGTCCGGAAGTGAGTTCTTGTGCTTAAACCCAGGGTTGTCCTACACACATGCCTCCACACCCGCCACTCCTTCATGCCAACCCCCCACCCCATTGCTCTTTAAGTTTAATTTGAGGCTGAATTAGAGAGCTTATATGAGCTGATGATAGTCAGCTATTAGCTGTTGGGGTGATACAGCCAAAGACTTTATAGCTGTGTACCCAGTAAGATTCTCTTTATGTGACACACTCTCCTTTCTGAAGTGATTCTGCCTCATTAACTGGAAGCTTCATGTCACATGACGTCAGAACACCTAACTCGCTTTGGGGAGCTAGGATTCTGCTGTGACAGAGTCGCTGCTTCGGGCCAATTCTCGTTTTCGCGGTAACGCTATGGAAATGCTCTGAACTTCAGAGCCCCTCTCTGCAAATGATTGACAGGGAAGAAGGACAATTATATCAAATTACCATTAGGATGGTCAAGACGTCATAAAGAAAGCCTGAATTGTTTGTGTTTATTTCCTGCCCTTTAGTTCACAGCTGCGGTGTGAACTCTCTATCATTCCATCCTTCGGGGAACAGCCTGGTCACGGCCTCTTCTGATGGGACACTCAAGATTCTGGATCTCCTAGAGGGAAGGCTCATATACACACTTCAAGGACATACGGTATCAACGCTGAGATTTCTGTTTTGTGATCAATGCTTTTTAAAGTTTGGTCCCGTTCATTACATGTGCCTTTCTTATATGATGCTGGCTCTCCGCTCTGACACTCAGCCTTTCGCTCCTGCCCCCATCCCTCCTATCCTGATTGGTGAGTTTAACAGTAGCTCAGCAATCAGAGCCTAACACCTTTTGCTTCCCTGCTTTAGGCTGGGCGCCTGCCCCTGCTGTTTTTCTCCGATAATTCTTGTGCAAAGTCTTGTCTTCAGCCAGTGTCACCTGTAACTAGGCCATCACACCTGGCTCATTGTGATTATTATTTCTAGAACACCCACTTGCCTTCCAGATAAGCAATATTCTCCTTTTAACAAAGTTACTGCAGAGAAAGCTGATATTTTGGCTCTGGTATTTCTTTTTTTTTTTTGGTTTTTCGAGACAGGGTTTCTCTGTGGTTTTGGAGCCTGTCCTGGAACTAGCTCTGTAGACCAGGCTGGTCTCAAACTCACAGAGATCCGCCTGCCTCTGCCTCCCGAGTGCTGGGATTAAAGGCGTGCGCCACCACCGCCCGGCGGCTCTGGTATTTCTTATTCTTTTTGTCTAAACCAATTTCTCAATTGGTTTAGAAAAACATTGATATGTTTTAAGTCTATAAACTGTTCTCTTATGGGTAAATATTCAAACTTGTAAGCTTTTCAGAGCAAATTGTTTCCTTTTTGCCTCACGCACTGGGGATTTTCTTTTAGGTGAATATAAGCTCCCCACATTTCAAAATAGAAAGGGCTTTACAGTCTAGAAAAGAAAGGTTCTTCCTGCCTGATCTGTCCTACCCAACTTCCTGCTCTGCCCTGGTCTACAATAGGGTTAGGGCAAAACAGAACCAGCTCAGTCACGTGCAGACACGTGCAGTCAGAGAAAGTAAATGCAATCAATGAGAATGGCTAAGGCCTGAGATATCTATAAAGTAATACAACATAATTAGGAAAAAGATAGAACAGCGCTGAGGAGAAACACTCTTGGCACACAGATAGCATTTTCTTCCAGGGTAAAGGTATTTATGAGCTACAGCTGGTAATGGCATCCTTGTCCCTTTGATAAGAAGCCCTGGCAAGTGGCTAAAGAGAGGAAGACCTTACTCCATGACAGTTCCAGAAAGAGTAGTCTACCACGGCAGGGTAGTCATGGCAGCAGGTGTTGTTGGTTGTTTTACTCTTTGTTCTTTTGGCTCCTTTGACTTTTTTGAAGGGCCCACCATCCAGCTCTCAAATAAATGAATGCCCAGCCTTAGCTTGGCTTGTTTCTTGCCAGCTTTTCTTAAATTATCCCATCTATCTTTGGCCTTAGGGCTTTTATCTTCCTCTATTCCCGTATACCCTTTCTTTCCTTCTTATTCTGTGTCTGGCTGTGTAGCTGGGTAGGTGGCTGAAGTCCTCCTCCTTCCTTTCTAATTCCCAGATCCTTTTTCTCCCAGATTTTTCCTCCTGTTTATCTTCTCTGCCTGCCAGCCCCACCTTTTTCTCTCTCCTGCCTTGCTGTTGGCCGTTCATCTCTTTATTAGACCACAGGTATTTTAGACAGGCACAATAACACAGCTTCACAGAGTTAAACAAATGCAGCATAAACAAAAGAAACACACCTTAAAATAATATTCCCCAGCAAACAGGGGCATGCTGTCAGACATTGCATTACCTATCTGGAAGCATAGAGGGAGAGAGAAAGACAGAGAAGAGAGCGAGAACTTGGCGTGGGACCAGGTTATAAAACTACGAGGCACACACACACGCACAGTGACGTATTTTCACCTCCTGAAGACTCCATATCCCCCAGACAGCACCACCAGCTGGGCATTAAGTGTTCAAGCATAGAAACCTATGGGATACATTTCACATTCAGTAATAACACAGGATATATGTGAATAAGGCAAAGTGTTTTCTCTAAAACTTTGTATATTAGTTTATGTTAAAAAATAAACAAATGTTAATATTGCAAGATGAGAACTAATCCCTCCAGTTGTGATGGACTGATCTCATGTAAAGTACAGGAATTGTTCAATTTCCAGTGCTCTCAGTAGATAATTTCGGGAGCTTCCCCACTGGCCTCCGACTGTGCTGTGCTGTGCATCCTCAGGGCTGGACTGCTGGCTTTGACTCCTCACAGTTCTGCAGCCTTCAGGAGAGAGCACCCAGTGGAGCCTGCTAGGGTCATGCGGCTCTCAGTGCCATTACTTCATATTTATTGTTCATTTTTAATGAGTAAAGCTAGAAAAAGCTTAAACAGAAATTCTTACCAGCTTTTACATGTACAAACTTTTATTTTTTAAAAAAAGGCTTTATATAAAAATTCTTTACAGGAGAAAATGGCCGTTCCTTTTGCGATTATCACTTCCTTGTGTTCTAACATTCCTGGGTCAGTTCTGTATCTGCGCTTGGCCACCATTCGTTGCCAGCTACTGGATGTGTCCGTGGGACGCTAGCTGCTGTGTGACAAGTTGGACCGTGGCACTCAGTCCTGTCGCCCATGAGACATCAGCTCTCAATCCTCTTCTCTTTACTTCCCTTTGTCTCTCAGGGTCCTGTCTTTACTGTCGCATTCTCACGGGATGGAGAGCTGTTTTCGTCAGGAGGTGCGGATGCCCAGGTTTGTACACCTTTGATTTGGATCGAAGGACCTGATTTGCATAAAGGAACCGTTGATGTCCACGGGACACACATCACTTTCTAGCCTGTGTGTGCTGAGACGATTACCAGTGGGGTTTTATGTTAACTTAGTGTCAAGTTTGCTGTCGCGTAGTTGAAATAGTTACAGCTGAATAGTTTTAAGAATTCTGTAGGTATTTTCTCTTGCTCTAGTTTATGCTTAATAATGCATTTAGTTGACACCGAGTGCCCAGTCTCAATGCCCTTCTTACCCAACTTATTGTCTAAGATTTTGTCTGTACTTCTTGTTTCTTCAAATGTTGAGCTCTCTGAGGATGATAAATTGAAATCATTGATGAGGCAAATCTACGTTTACATGAGATGACCAAAAGTTATTCATAGCCAGGTTATTGAACAAAATGATGGTCAAGTCAAAAGCGTGGTGTGGGGCTTTGGTGAGGGGCAGAGAGAAATATTTTAAGTTTATAAAATATTAAAGAATTTTGTTTGGTTTAGTTTAGATTGGATTTGGGGGATATTTTTGAGACAGGGTCTCACTGTGTATCACAGACTAGTGATACTAGTGAACTATATATAGAACTCACTATATAGGCCAGGCTGACTTCAGACTTACAAAGGCCTCCTGCCTCTGTCTTCCAAGTACATGACCTGCACACCCAGCTCAAAGTAGAAATTTTAAGTCGGGTGTGAAGGCAATTCAGAATGCTAAATCTCTTCCCTGCCCTGCCTAAAATATTGAAGAGCAATGATGGACGTGTGTCTCTGCACACAGACACTCTGATGCTCAGAACAGTTTTAGATGCCTGACTGTTTAAGACCAGCTCTGTGGTTTCATATGCTGGCCACTAACTACCAATGCCTTTGACTCTGTAGGTCTTGCTATGGAGGGCCAACTTCAGTCAGTTGCACTGCAAAGACCCTAATAAAAGAAACCTCAAAAGATTGCACTTCGAGTCCTCCCCACACCTCCTTGACATCTACCCGCGATCACCGCATCTCCATGAAGAGAAGAAGGAGATTATTGAAGTGAGTACATTGTGCATATTTCTTTTTACATGTTATGATCATTGTAGGGCTGTTATTGAACCCGGTGCTGAAAATTAGACTGGTTTATATAAAGCCTGGCCCTGCCCCGAAACAACAGAGCTTGGAGAAAGTCATTTATTTATTTATTTATTTATTTATTTATTTATTTATTTATTTATTAAAAATTTCTGTCTCTTCCCTGCTACCTCCTCCCATTTCCCTCCCCCTCCCCCAGTCAAGTCCCCTTCCCAAAGAGCAATCAGGGTTCTCTGCCCTGTGGGAAGTCCAAGGACCACCCACCTCCATCCAGGTCTAGTAAGGTGAGCATCCAAACTGCCGAGGCTCCCACAAAGCCAGTTCGTGCAGTAGGATCAAAAACCCATTGCCATTGTCCTTGTTTTTTGTTGTTGTTGTTGTTGTTGTTTTTACTCCTAAAATCAAACCATAGGTATACAGTAGTGTGTCCTAATGTGACTAGCTTAGATTCTTCTTGACGGCTCGGAAATAAAGCTAAAAATTGTGTTGGCAGGAATAGAAGTGAGAACTTAAATCTAAGGCTGCGGAGTCTGACTGTGGCTTCCTCGCCGGTCACTTTGGGAGAGCTGGTTTGAGGGCCATTATGAGGATAGGACTGAAAGGCAAGCGTTTTTATAACAACTAATGAAACAGGTCTCCAAAACCACTTTATAGCCAGACAAACTAACAGACCCACCCATAAACATTTAAAGAAAATATTTAGCATTAAATATAATAAGTGAGGCCATATTAACGATTAAGACCAATTTGCGTGCTTGCTTGCACACTTCCCAAGAACCTGGACTTGAGGCATGACGCTGTTTGAGTTCTTTTATTAGTTGAGTGTAAGTGCATTCCCGTATTTCAGCCCATCGATGCAAGTTTTCTCCCTTCAAAGGAAAACCCATTTGTGCTGAATCCTTAGCTCATGTTAGGCTGTTAGACCATCTCTTACTGTTCTTTTTAAGTCTGTTTCTGTTCCAAGAGCTGATATCAGAAATCACTGTCTCCCTGCTCCTTTGAGTTTGCTTTTTTGTCATTACAGATGATTTTAGAGTATTTCTTTTGCTTTCTTGTGTTTTGGTTTTGAGACAAGATCTCCTGTAACTGAGATTGACCTTGAACTCACTCTGCAGTGGAGGATGACTTTGAACTCCTAATCTGCCTGTCACTGCTTCCCAGGTGGTGACTGCAAGCTTCTGCCGCCCACACACCCTGCTGAGCCCTGAGACCATATCTGAAGGCAGGACACAGTAGCCCAAGTCACCCCTCAGCCACCCCCTCTGTCCTGACCTCAGTCACTTCTCTAGATCTGGTTTCATTACTCCTGGTCATTCTCAGGCCTTTCCAGGACTCTCACTTGAAGCCTCCGTAACTACGCTCTGGGTGTTCTTACTCTGTTTGCTTGTCTTGGAATAGGGGTCTCAGGCTAGCTCTGACTACCCTGGAACTCCTTATCCCCAACTGCTAGGACTTCCACGTGTTCACCATCCCACGCAGGAGAGTCTTTCTTAGATTTTGTCTAATTCAACTGTATTTTGGGGCTTTCTGGGTTTTTGTTGTTGTTGTTTTATTGGCAGTGTTGATTTTCCAATTCTTTACTGTAATTTGTATCCTTTTGAACAATATTCTGAGTATTAATCATTGTACTTCATTACATGTTCATGCGTACTCTGTCATTATGCGCATGCCTGTGCACACTTCTATGTGTGTGAGCCTGTGTGTGTTGATGCCGAGAATCCAGTTCAAGGCCTCTTACGTGCTACAAGTGCTCCACCCCAGAGCTCCAGTCCTTGCCCTCATTTTCCCTTTCATTCTTTAAACAAAAGAATATACATTTTTAAAAGAATTATTTGTTCTTATTTCATGTGTGTGGGTGTTTTGCCTGCATGGATGTCTGCACAATGTGCACAGTGTGCTTGTATTGCCTGCATGGATGTGCGCACCATGAAGCCAGAAGAGGCTGTCAGATCCCCTGGACCTGGGAGTCATAGATGGTTGAAAGCTGCCATGTAGGTGCTGAGAATCAAACCCAGGCATCTGTGGAAGAGCAGTTAGTGCTTCTAACTACCATCTCTCCAGCCAAAAAAATGTAATCATTTTCCTCAGTTGCTAGAGTTGTTAAGTGTGCTGGCTGGCCTCCTGTGATCACACAGAACACAAAATACATGTGGCGATATTTTTTTTTTTTGAGAGTCTAAAGCTAGTTTGGTGGTCCTTGGTGGCTCTTACTTCAGCATTTCTGTGGCTTGGCAGGGCTTGGTCAGGGTAAAGAACTCCTGGCCATGTCATTTACGTGACGCTCACCCAAGTGACATGTGGTAGAACTTGAGTGGTATTTCCCCCGCATCATGCTCTCCAGGCCCAGACATAAAACAAGACATTTGCTCCTTGGTTTACTGTCATCCTGGGCCATTTGAGAGAGCTAGGCTTTCAAATGTCAACAGGTTGACTGAGCAACTCGTTCTGACTCTTTAGTTGAGAGCCCTGAAACCACGCAAGCTCCTTTGTGCTTCGGTCAGGATGACCCAGACTGGGCAGAGATGCTCTCAGCTACTTTCCACGTGTGCGCCTATGTTCCTATTCAAAGCTGCCTCTTCATCATGGAACTAGAGGCCAATTGCACGACACACAATGCAGAGAACGTGCCTGAATATTTTACATGACCCAGAAGAAGGCCATCTTAGGTACCCAGCTTAAGTCACTTGTATGTACCATTGCTATTTGAGTTAACCATCTAGTATGACTTTTTGTAAAAGACTTTCTGACACTGTGTCAGAGAACTAAATGGATTCTTTGAATAAACAGCCAGTCATCTCGTTTTAAAAATAAGCTCACAGTAACACAAAATATAATGTGAAGGCGTAAGTCACGAACAAGGCCACACCAGTTTGGAGTTATGATTAATAGGGTGTTATTTATTTAAAGGGGAAAACTTACAGATCACCGTCCCAGACAACAGCCATCTGCACAACCAGGAAGGGAGTCTAGTCTCCGGCGGAGCAGGAAGTGATGAGAGCAGAGGAAGTAGCTGCTTTTTTAAAGGGAGAGAGACCACGCCCCAATGGGCTGGTATCACAGCAGCTATTGGTTGGAGGAGCGGAAGGATCTCCCGCAACACCTCCCCCTTTTGTTTAAGTAAGAGAGTTCTAAACCTACTACGAAATTATATACAATAAGTACAAATATCCTATTCTAACTAGCTTAGGTCTTG